ACCTCGATGTACGGCTACGAGGATAGGTTTCTAAAACGTCAAAACACTATTTTCGCAAGGGATAAGACGTGTTTGCCCGCAATTACAACCCCGGCAAGAAATAGTGGATTAAGAGCATTGTCACAATGGCGAGAGGTGTTGTTTTTGAGGGAGAAACTGCAAAAGGGAGAATCAAACAGCATGTGAATCAGCTGAGGCGGAGATTCTCCTCAGACGGCCAAATAGCACTCGTTGGGCTATCCGATAATTTTGAGGTCTCGACCTCCAAATAGAGATCACGTCGTATTCACCGCCCGTTCGAAAAGTCACCGAAAAATACAACCGCCTAAACACCTCTACGTGAACCCAAGCAGGAAGAAATATGAAGCCCGTTTTTCAAAAGCGGGAGGTGCTACAGGGACACGAGCGGCAGTGCACCACAGAGCCTTCACCTAGAAACGCACGCGAGTTGAATTGTGTGCGCAGGCCGGCCGCGCGCGCCATCGTCTTGAGCACACGTGATGTCCGCTCACACGTACAGTATAGATATTCCGGAAACTTCTCCCAGAGCCGCAACGTGAAAGCAGGGAATAGCAAAGAAAATCATTGCACGTTTAGTCAAACATCCTGTGCTACCATTTTGATCACAACTTTTGCGTATCCCAAAAAGTGTGTTGTACAGTCTGATATTAACAGAAAATTTGCTTTTCCGGTATAGGGCTTCTCCGTTGGAAACAAAAGGCCTGCTTATTCCAAATATTATCAGCGAAGGGAGGGCGGACAAGTAAGCCACATCAACGGCTAACTACCATTCACCGTTAAAGGCATCAGTCAGTGCGAATGATGGATCATCTTTAACTTTATAAAGATCACACGGAAAGACATTGAAAAGTCAGTCAAGTGGGTTTGGAGTCTTTTTCTCGCTTTCGATGCTTACTCTTAAGTAAGTCTTATCACCAACAAGACGCTCTGAAAATAGATTCAAGGAACCTGAAAACTGTTGCTTTAAGGATCAATAGTTACAGAGAATTCACTAAACGGTAGTCTGTTTTAAAAATAGAAAAAATAAAAATTCAAAAGTTATTTTTCTGCTGTGAAGTGCACATTTGAAATTATGCTCGACAGAGAACTGAGGTACAGAGAAAGCTTAACCATTCAACAATTTCGGCGGCACATTAAGAAGTTGCAAGTTACTTCACTTGAAGTATAGCCCAGGTCTCCGAATTTAACCTGCACGCTGATATCACATGGGGTGTCATTCGATAGTCTGTGCTGAGGGGAGATCTGGCAGGTGTAGATGTACAATTCCGCAGCTAGTTCCCTAGAATCTATTGACTGATAATCGATAAGGAGCGTTGGTGAAACCTACTTATGGTTACTGACTGTCGTCAGCTAATTTTACCCTAACATTACAAAGGCGTCAGAAATGTTATCTTAAAGCAGTTGGTTATTAAGATATGGTTGATGGTTCCCATGCAGCCATGCAAATACATGTTAAACCAGCATTTCGAGGCCAAAGAGAGAGTAAAAGACAAAAAGTCTGAAAAGTACCTGGTTTCGTGAGAGAATCAACAATTCCAGCATCCAGTTCCTCTCCCATGCATTCACTGCATGAGATGAATTCCAGCAGGTCGGCGTGGTTGAGAATATCCTCTAGTAGTCCCACTTCATCCTCCTTCAAATCCCAGATGCCCTTACATGCGTCGGCCATTCTGTGGGAAGGAAATTCGGGGTTATAAGGATGTTGTTACAAGCCGTCTGCGCAGATAATTATTTAACGTACCAAGGATTAAATGCGGTGGAGTGTTGATTGTATTACAAGCAACTGTGGATTACTATACGTGCTGTATCCAGAAAGCTACGTGAATAGGAATGGATACTGTTACGGCTATTTATGATTTTCTGCCAGCTAGTGAGCCAGTTATATTCGAAACTTGTAATTGGGTAACGTAGGAGCAAAATGAATTTAACGCGCTACCATTAATACTCCTGTTCCTTCATCTTTCAAGTGCGCTCGGGAATAGTTTTATGTGACCTTTGGTTCCGCATTGATTCAAAGCTTCAATTATAAGCACCCGTGGATATCGGGTCCGGACGGGTAAGGGAAGAATGAGTGCAGAAGACACAACTCAAATTTAGTATAACTAAAAGCCAAACCACCCGTGAAGCACCGTCCCTGCACCACCGCCCTATGGGGCAGAAGTTCGTCAGAATTGACGGTCGAACTGTCACATAAACTTACCTACTGGTTTTGTACTATCAACCGCTTATGTTATATACGCTGGAAATAACTTTAAACTTTGTGAGAAATAGTTAAGTCATAGCACTCCACAGCGGTCCTCTGGAAATGGTTAAATCTGCTGTAAAATAAAGAAAAACATTGCTAAAATATTATTGGGATACTTATACTCTGCTCACAATTTAAGCCTCATTCTACAATGCGCCAAGTCGTCCCTGCGTTGAGAAACTTCTCAGCCACTAATTGCTACTTAAGCAGCGAAAATTATTATCTAAAAATGTACGTATTGCTTAAGGAGTTGCATCCACATACAGTATAAACTGTTCCTAGAAGGGATTTACAAAGATCCACTCGATAAACCAAAATGGGTGTACGATCGAGTACAGTCACGTATTTCCCATTCTGTACGTGCAATATGGTGATACTGATGGTCACATGAAGTAGGCAATTTTGGTAGAAGTGTGCACAGGTAGGGAAGCTGATTATTGTAGGCATCTCACTATACTCCCACATGAAACATCTTTCACGAACGTCAGAGGTAGGTACTGTCAAAACGAAAGGCCGCTCCCTCAAACCTCCAACTCAGCGATTAAACAGCATAATAGACGTTCAAATTTAGTTGGGCCATCTCTTTAGCCGGCAACTAGGCTTGAGAAGATTTTTATGACTGGTCCGGAGGTCTGAAGAAGCTGCCTCTACAGACCACACTGTGTATGTCCTCATTTACTTGACATTGAGGGCTAGCTTATATAGGTACAATGACAAGGCATCTGCCTGAAAACTTACGTAAGACAGTGCTCGATCTTCTGGAATATTAATCTGAAGTTTTACATGCGTTTTTAACTAGCAAAGTTTACTATGTGGGGCTGTGGGACTCCGGGTCGGACTCTAACCATTGACCTATGTGCTCGCTTTCATGTCCGTTGAGATAGGCAATATTGCCTTAAGTTGACTAATGGAACGCCATCATCCCGCTCTGCATTGAAGCTCAGTCTTTAGCCAGGACAGTAGGCTACACAGATGGACAATGCCCGCAGAAACAAGAGACACGATAATAATAAGTTCTGGCACACAAACTGAAATTTAATTCCTGAATCATTTGGAGTAAAAATCTGCCGTTTTATTTGTGCTTTGTTTTTCGACCTAAAATCTGCGTGCTTTATGTAAAAAGATAAAAATACAGTTTGGACCCTAGTTCAAACCAAAAGCCGAAATTTGCGAAAGATGTATACTCATTCTCAAACCGATATTAAGGCAACTTGCGACAAGTTTGAACTAATAATCAACAAATATGAGCGAACTTATTTCCTATAGCCCCGTACAAAAGAAAAAATCGTTACCTAAATGTATTTACACTGGTATTCGAGTAATGATTTAACTTAGACAAAGTTATGAAAGTTGCGTGGTCCTTGGCGACTACTGTACATATAAGTATTATGCCTTTTATCACTTATTATCGATGACATTATTCCTTCAAATATGTTTCATAGAAAGAATGTACAAAGTTTAGTTTCTCATAAGCAATTTTTAACACAGTAAATTTTCAAATTTAACATTCGGAAAAAGGGTATCTGTTGGTACTGGGAAGGTTTCGTCGTAGGAAATCTCTAAAGACCATGACATTTTCCTGCTTAACACATTTTATCCGTACACTTATTAATGTTGTTTCTAAAGTATACAACTCGATATATCTTCACTGCAAAACTATATTAGCACTCTAGGAATTCTTCCTTATTTCGTGGAGAAATAGTCGGTTTCCTTAGACACAATTTATATAGCATTCATTTTGGAAACCTAGACTGGCAGAGTCCAAAAGTATCCGGCAATTGCGAAAATTTGTCAGATGTGAAAGGAAGCCTTTTTCAAGGACCATATTTGAGAAGGTGTAGTTTCCTATAACTGAGCATAAAAGATGGATATTTCGGTGCACGTTTGATATAAATTCAGATACTGTATATATATATATATATATATATATATATATATATATATA